GTGTGCAACAGAATGTCATTGTGTGGTTAAATGCACTGATTCTGGAGACAGGCTGCCTAGGATCTAGCTGTGTGTCCTAGAGCAATTTACTTATCCTTTCTGTACCTAAGTTTTCTCAGCTATGAGATGAGTACCCGCTTTTAAGAAGGTTATGTGAGTTGTTGAGAATAATGCCTGGTAAAGAGTAGGCAATGTACAAGAATTAGCTATGTGGGGAACTAACTCAGACATGATACGAATACACACCACTTATTTTTTCTTTTTTTAATGAAATTTAAAAAAATTTTGTACGTGCTTTGGGCTATTGAATTAAAAAAACAGATGAGTAAGTGGGCAAGTGAAGGCAGTGGATTTATGGAAAGAACTAAAGGTCATCTATAATTACGTCTATACATTGCTAGTCCTATCTAATAAAAGAGTGATATGCAAATTGGTCACCCCAGCACACAAGATGGCCACCCTCATGTGGACACAAGATGGCCAGCAGGGGAGGGAAGTTGTGGGCGATCGTTCCAGCAGGGGAAGGCAGTTGGGAGGGACCAGGCCTGCAAGGGAGAGCAGTTGGGGATGCTCATGCCTGCAGGGGAGGTCAATTAGGGGTGACTGGGCCAGCAGAAGAGGGCAGTTGGGAGCAACCAGGCCAGCAGAGGAGGGCAGTTAGGGGTGACCAGGCCTGCAGGGAAGGCAGTTGGGGGGGGGACGACAAGACTGTAGGGGAGGGCAGTTGGGGGCGACCAGGCCAGTAGGAGAAGGTAGTTAGGGGTGACCAAGTCGGCAGCAGAGGGGAGTTAGGGGCAATTGGGCTGGCAGGGGAGCAGTTAGGCATGGATCAAGCTGGCAAGGGAGTGATTACGGGGTGATCAGGCTGGCAGGCAGAAGCAGTTAGAGGCATTCATGCAAGGAGGAAGTCAGGCAAGCGGTTGGGAGCCAGCAGTCCTGGATTGTGAGAGGGATGTTTACAAGTCTTCCCTACCACTTGAATATTTATATCCCTTGAGGGGTCCCAGATTGGAGAGGGTGCAGGTTGGGCTGAGGGACATCCCCCCATCCCTGTGCACAAATTCCATCCACTGGGCCTCTAGTTAGTAATAAAAACCACTGTGGGTCATAGTTTTATTACTAACTAGCCTGAAATTCTGATGTTGGGTAGCTCACTATGCAACAAAAGAGGTGACTTTTGTTGGACAGAATTCATTGTTGGAAAATTCTTTCTTTTGCTGATCTGAATTTTACTTATCTATTGCTTTATATTGGCCTAGTTCTTTCCTTTGGATGAATCTATATATATAAAAGCCAAGCAACCAGAACACAGGAACTATTGAAGTGACTGGTTGCTTTGATGGGCACTGCGGCCCCAATTGGCCCCGCCTTCCCTTTGCCCCCTGATTGGCTATCCAACCTCCCTCTTGGCCAGCCCCGCCCTGATCAGCACCCCACACCCCTATCAGGGGAAGGGCCAGCAGGACCCAGCCCATGCAAGAATTCATGCACCAGGCCTCTAGTGTAGAATAAATAGAGGAAAATAGATTAGTTGGTTGTTTTGCTTCATCAGCATTTTCTTCAGCTTAAATGATTCTGGTATCTCTGGTCCTTCTGCATATGACATGGCTTTGAACCCTTTATCATTCTCCATCCTTCTCTGGGTATAATTTTAGGTATTTCTCTTAAAGTGCAAGATTTGAGCTAGTAACTGACCACATTGCACTTCATCTGCCAATGAAAGCACACAATAAAAGACATACAATAAAATGCAAAAATTACTTGCATTGTAGGCCAGCTGTATCATTGATCTATAATATATTGTGTTTCTCATTAACTTTAGTGTCATTTTTCTCAAACGGAATGATTAAAATACTAAAAGATGATCATTAACAAATTTTTTTTGACACAAGTAATTTAGATAAAATTATTAAAAAGAATCTAAAGTATTTTGCTTAGTGGTTGTGTCATGGTTCGATTCCTGGTCAGGGCACATGCCTGAGTTGTGAGCTAGATCTCCAATGTGGAGAGTGAAGGAGGCAGCCAATCAGTGATTCTCTCTCATCATTAATGTTTCTCTTTCTTCCTCTCTGAAAACAATAAAAATAAGTAAATAAAAATAAATATTTTGCTTTAATGAGAACAAAAGTATACTAGTCTTCATGCTAAATATAAAATTCTTGTCAATGTTGACTTTATTTTCAATTAATGTGAAAACCTAAACAAATAATTCTAAGATCATTTCAGTGACATTGCAATTAGTATTGTTAGTATAATCTGTACAGGTAATATCTTGAGTGAAGTTAGCTTTATTGCCTGAAAAATGTTTCTTTTAGGAATTATGTTTACTCTAGATGGGTAATTGCAACCTTGGTTCCTTATATTAGAAATCCCTGCTCCAGTTTATCCATTTGTTATGATAGATAACTGTTACCCATTTTGTTGATTTCCCAATGTAAACAAATTATTTATTTTCAGTTTTCCTAAATTCATTTATTTAAATAACCTCATCATTTTGATTTGAAAAAGTCTTTTGAATCTTCTTTGGACTTAATTTGTATTAATGTCTCATCTCTACCTCTGAGAAACTTTGGATTCTAGGGCCAGTCTGTGGACTGGCTTATTCCTTCATTTCCTCTTCTGTGGATGGAGTGGCCAGCCTGGAGTACAACAGTTTTTATTTATGTACTTCTACTTTTCCTCCCACCCATCTTTCTACATAGCTGCCAGAGAGTCATGTAAACATGTAAAGCATATTCTATGATTCCCCTGCTCATCATGTTTCAAAAATTTCCCCATGCACTCAGAGTAGATCCACACCCTGTCCCGTAGCCTATGGGGGCCCAGGTGAGCTGCCTCTGCCTGTCTTTCCAACCTATTCCTTTTAGCCTCACTGATCACTCAGCCTTTAATAGCACTTCAGCATATAATCCTATGTAGTTTGCTTTTGTTTACTTATTACTTGTTTCTCCCATTAGATAGATGCTTGATGAAAGCAGATAAGGTGTTTTCATTTACTGATTTAAAACTTAATGATCAATAAAATGTGCTGGGGATAGATGCTCATGTTTTTATTGTTCTTAAAATCTAATGATTCCTCCTACTTTCAGGTATGTGTCCAGCAGTTCCTTCCCATGGCAGTGTTTACAAGTCCTCCCTACCATGTGAATATTTATATCAAAATGGCTGTGTGCTAACGTTTTTTTAATACTTACTTTTGGTTAGTCTCAAATTATAGTGCCATATGAAGGCTGGTTATGTTCCAGGTATATTAGTTTCTGTTGCATTCTTTATTTATTTCTAGAAAGTGATTACAGAGTGTTCCCACTGATTAGTTTGAATATGACCTTTTAGCCTTGGCCTATATGTATTATAAAATATGATACTAGGCTAAGATTTGTTTTGAAATTGTTGATGTTTTATTTGTTGTATAAGTATGCCAGAAAGTTATTCCTTTAAATGATATCAATATTGGTGTCTATCAACTGAAATAAAAGAATTTTTCTGAAAATTTGGTTTAATACTATAGCCATGATTCTACCCCAAAACAGTAAATTATTCATTTTTTTGGTCAAGTCACTGTAGTACTATTTGGTAATTTACCAGATTGCATAAAGAATTAGAGCATTTGCCAAAAGGAGCTATTTAGTCCCCTATCAACTATGATTTATCTCTGATGAAGTATATATGGTAGAAGATGTTCATCCTGTTCTCTCTTCAGATTAAGTTTATAAAATTGACTCATTTTTGTTTTTCCTTTTCCCCTTTTATTTTTATATCAGACAGTAACAGTGAGGCCGAAGCTCTATGGAGGTACTTGGGTCTGTATACTGAAGCAGTTCCAGTGGCTGAACTGTTTGTGGCAAAGTTTCTTTTTAAAATATTTTTATTGCTTGAGAGAGAGAGAGAGAGAGAGAGAGAGAGAGAGAGAGAGAGAGAGAGAGAGAGTGAGAGAGAGAGAGAGAAAGAGAGAGAGAGAGAGAGAGAGAGAGAGAGAGAGAGAGAGAGAGAGAGAGAGAGAGATGAGAGCCATGTGCTCTGGCCAGGAATTGAACTGGCAACCTTTTGGTGCAAAGGATGATGCCCAATCAATGGAAACACCAGCTAGGCTGAGCATATTTCACTTAAAGTTCTTCACAGTTCAGTCAATCTTGGCAGAACCCCATAGAAACTATAACATACAATACTTTTAAAAAGCCACCATATTATTAGATAAAGAATTTGGGTAGATATATTGCTTTAGTGGTCTTAATAATATTATTTATAAAAGGTTCTTTTACCATTGTCATTACAGTGACTTTATGATGTGGCCCAGGGACTTTACTAGGAAGAAACTGAATCCTGAGGGAGCACTTACAGCATCAGGGGAAATGGCTCTGTGAGATGAAACTCAGAGCCAGTTCTTCTGGCCACACACAGCCCTCTTTAAGCTTTACACTGGCTCAGCCAGGCACGAAGTGGTCTGCTGCTGTGGAAAAGACAGGTGTTTGAGGAGTCAGGAAGACCTGAGCTAAAGTCTCTACTCTGACATTTAATAATTGTGAACCTGATTAAGTTACTTAATCTTTTTGAGTCCTAGATCATCTGTAAAAATAAGGATAGTATTACCTACCTTATAGTTGTATTAAATGAGGTAATATATATGAGATTACTTGGCATATAGTAGGTTTTCAGTAAATGAATTTTCTTTCTTCCTCTGTGTTAGTATTCTCAACATTTTCTGCTTGATATCTATCTCCTGCAGCCACTAATTCAGGGGTATTTTGAAAGGATCATTTTAGTCTTACCTATAGCTCTCTCCCCAAGAATATAAATTTGAAGAAATGTATAGTAAAGGAGGCCAGTTCATCTGTTTCTAATGAATTAAAAAGGAGAGGATGGCATATGGGTAATAAGAAAACACTATCTTAAAATAACCAAAAGTTATTTTAAAATGATTGTTATACTTTTTATAGCTTAATGATGCCAGTTAAAATTATGATGTTATTGACCAGTACTTTTTTTTTTATATCTGTCTCCAGGGAAGAAAAAATATGCAAGATGGTGTGAGTGATGGTGAAATTCCAAAATTTGATGCTGCTGGATACGATAAAGATCTGGTAGAAGCCCTTGAGAGAGATATTGTGTCCAGGAATCTTAGCATTCATTGGTTAGTGTCTTCAGTTCTTGAATTAAAGTAGTGGAGAAGACAAGTTATAGGGTTAGTTTGGTGTGAATCTTCTCTTTTAACTTTTAATCTTCTGTTTATGACTTCATCCTTAATATGACTATATAGAATTGACAGGACAGTCCTTTTTTCAGACTATAACCAAGACACTTAACATGTTAATTTGATGATATAACTGACAGAGATTGTTAATTGAATAACATGTTTTAATTAATAATTGGAATGTTATCTGATCACTGATCAAATTTTATGCAGTAAGAATTAGAATAATGTTCTTTTTTTTAAATATATTTTTTGTTGATTTTGTACAGAGAGAAAGGGAGAGAGATAGAGAGTTAGAAACATCGATGGGAGAGAGTCATCGATCAGCTGCCTCTTGCACATCCCTTACTGGGGATATGCCCACAACCAAGGTACATGCCCTTGACCGGAATCAAACCCGGGATCTTTCAGTCCTCAAGCTGATGCTCTATCCATTGAGCCAAACTGGTTTCTGCTAGAATAATGTTCTTAATATAGGAATATAAAGACTAAGTGACCAAACGACTTTACGACCAGTCGGACCAGTCACTATAACACGTACTGACCACCAGGGGGCAGATGCTTAATGTCAGTGAGCTCCTTCAGCCAACCTCCCATGCCCAGTCAATCTCACACAGCCCCTCTCCTTAGCTGGCTGACCCTGATGGCCCCCATCGAACCTGCCAGTCAAACTCCCGCAGTTCCTCACCCTGGCTGGCTGGCCAACCTCCCACGGCCCCTCCCCCCAGTCAACCTCCCAAGGCCTGAGTGATGACCAGGCTGAGGGACCCTACCTTTACACGAATTCATGCACTGACCTCTAGCAATGTCATAAGTTAAAAAAAAAAAGAATTAATAATTGATCATCAATCAAAATCATCTTTAAATAAACATGAAACTTTGCTGTTCCTACAAAGGGATGACATAGCAGATTTGGAAGAAGCTAAGAAGTTGCTAAGGGAAGCTGTTGTTCTTCCCATGTGGATGCCTGACTTCTTCAAAGGGATTAGAAGGCCCTGGAAGGTGAGAATTTATTAAAATGACATAGGTGTGAAAATGCTGCTTGCATGATAATGAAAGATAGCATTGTAGTTTCTAATGTTTATTAACTCAGTTTGTAAAGGTTGGGAGAAGTTTGTATTTTTTCCCAATTTCCTGAATTTGAATTTGTAGTTGTGTAACCTCTGCATGACAGGAGAGGAGCTTGGAGTATGGAAACTATAGTCTTTAGTTATGTCACTTTACTCAGGATTGCTCAGCTAGAGATTAGTTTTAAGGATTTTCTAGATGTAAATAAGAAGTTAACAAGTAAACAGTACTCATACATAATAGTAGTCTTTTATAATAGTTTGAATAGCTTTCTAAAGGTTGGCATATTTTTCACTAATTATTTTGATCACTTCATCTCAGATATTATCAGAATGTGTGTTTCTTTTATTATTATTTTTATCCTCACCCAGGGATTTTCCCCCCCCATTGACTTTTTAGAGAGAAGGGAGGGGGGAGGAAAGGGGGGGAGAGAAATATCGATGTGAGAAAAATACATTGATTAGTTGCCTCCCAGATGTGCCCCAACCAGGGCCAATCCTACAATCGATATATGTGCTCTTGACCCAGGATCAAACCCGTGACCCTTTGGTCCACAGGCCAACCTTCTAACCACTGAGCCAAACCAGCCAAGATTGTGTGTTTCCTTTCAGCTTGCACTCTGCTTTAGAATTTAAAGCCTGCCTAGAACTAGTTCCTCCTAAGTCTAGTGTTTTCCTGTTAACATATTGAAAAACCCTTCCATTAGCTGCAGTCTGAAACATAGGTCTTAACATAGGCAAAGCCTTTCTTTATTCTTACTGATAAAGAGTGCAGTGAAAGAGTGGTCTTTCTCTGCCCTCCTGAATTAGCTGAGAAGGTCTGTTTCTTTTCTCAATCCTTTCTTCTGTTTGTTTACACAAGTAGCTGGGGCACTATGACATTTTGATTGCTTCTCACAACTTAAATACTTCTATAGACACAGATTTACCTAATTTGGGGAACATATTACCATACATTTTCCCTTTATTATAATTTCTAAAACAATATTTAAAGGAGAAAACAAGGTCTTAAAACAGGTATTTAAAGGAGTTTTAAAGTAGCTACAACCTACCTTCATAAGGAGGCCTGTAAGTTTTCAGCAGAAGGGCGATTTGCAAATGTGAAAGATTACCGTGGCAGCAGTATGGAAGATAGATTGTAGATTGCATATGGCATAGATTGCATATAGATGAGGAGTCTGATCAGTAGGCTATTGCAGTAGTCTAGCCAAATGATGAGGACCTGCATTAAGGCATCTGTTATTTGGCTAGTGAACAAATGGATGGGTTTCTGCGAGATGTTTGAGAGGTCTGTGATAACATTATGGCTGATAGTTTATAGGACCAAGGGAGAGGGCCACGTTTTATGACTTGCCAATTCCAGGCTTGAATTGAAGGAGTATGCAGTTACTTCTGACACCCATTATCCAAACTGGTCCAAACTTGACAAGTTAAGGGCAGTTTTCCACAATACTGCCCTACCTAGGATGTTGCTGCAAACTTGGGGGTCCTCAGGTCACCCTCACTTCTGACCAGCTGGCTATAAATTTTGGGCTTCTCATACCCCTTCAGGTTCAATAGTTCTCTATAAAGACTCACAGAACTTAGGAAAGCATTATACTTAAGATTACATCTTTAATATAGCAAAAGGAAGTTATTCAGAGTTAGCCAAGGGAAGAAATACATAGGGCAAGATTTGGGACTCTGCTGAAAGTAAAGCTTCTGTGTTCTCTCCCTGTGGAATTAGGATGCTTTACCCTCATAGCACGTGGATGTGTGACAATGCATAGAGTGTTTCCAACAGGGAAGGTCACCCAGGATTCAGTGTCCAGATTTTATTGGGGTTTCATTACATGGTCATGATAGATTAAATCATTGTCCATATGTCTCATCTCCAGGCCCACCTTCCTCTATCCAGTACCCCAACCCTCTAAATCACGTGGTTGGTTTTTTTTTAGCTAGCCCAGAACCCATCCTGAGTCATCTCATTAGCATAAACTATATAGGGGCCCACCATGAGCCACCTCATTACCGTATTTTCCGGCGTATAAGACGACCCCCTAATTTTACAGTTAAAACATAGGTTTAGGCCTATATTCGCTGTATAAGACTACCCCCCACTTCCGAGGCAACACCAGTTCTTTTTTTAATTAAATTTTTAATGAATGACATTTTTCGAACATACCGAAATATAACGTACATTGATAGGATAAATGGAAGGTCTCTTCACAAATGGCAATGCCATGAACTTGACCTAGAAACAAGAAATCCAAAAGAGAACATTAACCATGAAAATTACATGAAGAACTTGCAGAAAATGCTTGTTTGTGACTGACTGGGATGATAAGAGGTTTTTCTAGGCAGAGGAGCATTGTGAGCTTAAAATCCATCAAAATCCTCATCATGTTCTTCTTCTGACATCATAAGTTCATCAATGACTTCTTGTGGTACATTTGTAAGACAGTCCTCATATGGATCAAATTCCGAATCAGATGGTGTGGCTTCAGCTTCGGCTTCCCCTTCATCTTGCCACAAGAAGTCATCCTCCATACCGTCCAAAGAATTTGATATGCCGCACTTCTTGAAAGACCTGATTGCTGTTTCTTCAGTAATATCATTCCAGGCTTTTATGACAAAGTTACACAAAACATCCAATTGTGGCGCACGCATGTTTCCTCCTTTTGTGAATAACTTTTCGCCGCTAACCATCCACTCATTTCACACTGTTCTCTAATGCAATCTTTAAATGGCTTGTTTAGGCACACATCCAGTGGCTGTACCAATGATGTCAATCCTCCAGGAATAACTGCCGCATCTGTGTTTATTCTTGCCAGCCTGTTCTTTGTGCTGGTAGTTAAATGAGCCCTGAACATATTCCACACCAGTAGGCTATGTTCTTGACGAAGTCCACCTGGTCGCCTACTCCATACATTATCAAGCCATAGCTTTACCCCTTCTTCATCCATCCATCCTTTTTCATTTACATGTACAAAAATTCCAATAGGGAACTTGATTTTCGGCATTGTTTTTCTTTTAAAAATAATCATTGGTCTTAGTTTGGCACCATCAGCTGTACATGCTAGTACCACTGAAAAACTGGACTTCTTATGTCCTGTTGTTTTAATTAACACTGTTTTTGCACCTTTTGGATTAACAGTTTTATTTCCAACCATATCGAAATTCATAGGAGTTTCATCCATATTTCCGATCTGACTTAATGCATAGCCATGTTTCTTGCGCTGTTGTATTACATATTGATGGAAAAGACTTACTTTGCCGTTAAGATCTGCAGTTAATTTTTATGCAATTTTGGTCTTTTGCCTCAGTACCAGATTGTGCCTTTCCAAGAACCTAGTACTCCAGGATACATTGGCCTTAAATCCTTTGCTGTTATCTGGGTTAGATTTGGCCCACTGAAGTGCAAACATACGTATTTTGTTTAGTGTCATTACATAATCATTTAACGATGCTCAAGAACCATGTCTGCTACATGCTTTTTGAGTTCTGGCCAATAAAGGGTGCCTCTTCTTAATGCACACTTACTCCTTGGCATACTCTTTAATGCATCTTCATTTGCTTTCCAGTCTCGGACAATCTTTTCTGTTACTCCATATTGTCTTGCTGCAGCACAGTTATTGTGTTCCTTGGCAAAGTTTACAACTTTCAGTTTGAAACTGGCTTCAAATTTCCTTCTTCTTGCTGGAGCCATAATGGGTTCTTTTCTACCAGCCATTTGTTGTATACCCACTAATCTTTTAGGCTGGGGTTATACAGTACTGTAGCTTCAGCTACATACAGAATGTTCTATTACGGCACCTTTTAACTCACTGTATGTATCCTGATACAGCAGCTTTGGCTACACAGAATGTTCCTGTGCTGCAACTGTATGTATCACGGTGAGCCAATCACAACAGCAAAGGTTCAAAGGCTATAATAGACCGCCTCTCTGACTCTGGCCAATCTGAGCAGGCTTTTTACTAGAAGACAGTGTAGCTTTGGGTACAGAACATGTATAATTTGCATGCATAAAAAGCCTGCTTGGATTGGCTGAGTTAGAGAGGCAGTCCGAGCAGCCTTGCAGTGATTGGTGCGGGATCGAGTTCGAAAATTAGTTTAGCGGCATATCCAGACGATTTTCGGGATCGAGTTGGAAAATTCGTTTAACGGCATATCCAGACGATTTTCGGGATCGAGTTGGAAAATTCGTTTAGCGGCATATTGAGATGTTTTTCGGGATATACTCGGCGTATAAGATGACCCCCGATTTTCGGTTGACTTTTTTTCGTTTCAAAAGTCGTCTTATACGCCGGAAAATATGGTAGCATAAAATTTCAGGGCTCGACATAGATAACAAAGACACTCCTGTAAGTTGGGAAATTCCAAGGATTTAGAGTCTTTTTCCCAGGAACTGGGGTAAAAGGCCAATTAAATTATTTATTATATAGGGTACAATAAAATGATGTTGGAAATTGAGAAAAGGAACAGATTTTAATAGGAACAAAATATGTTTAGGTAATTACTCAGCAGGTAATTGGAAATATAGGTCTGGAGCTTAGAATAGAGTGAATTAAAATTTTAAGATATAAGTGGTGGTTTATAATATGCATGTGGATGAAATTGTTGAAGGAGTTTATAAAAGAACACAAAAGATATGGGATTGCTTTGGGAATGTGAACATGAAGAGGAGATCTGAAGACACTGAAGACAGTCATGATGGAGAAGTATTAGGAAAGAGCAGGGTCCTAGAACCAAAACAGAAAAGATGGGTTTCAGAAAGGGGGGAATGAATACCAAGTATCGGCAACATTGAGGTCAGAGAGAAAGAACACGTGAATTGAAAAGTTGGTGGGTTAGTAAATTAGATATTGTTAGTGAAGTAGTGGAGGCAAAAGTCAGATTGTAGCTCATGAAGAAGCAGTAGTATGCTTAAGCCATTTCTTTAAGAAGGCTTGCTGAGAGGAAAGGAGAGGTACACAGTAGCTAGAAGATTTGAATAGTTAAGCAAAGGATTATTTAAAAAATGGGTCAGATTTAAATATGTTTATATAGTAAGGGGAAAGAGCCAGTAGAGGAGGAAATACAGGAAATAGATGAAGTAATCAAAAGAGAAATATCATGATGAGTTCAGAAGTATAAATATTGTACCACAACTAATGTTAGAAAAGGGAGGGGCCATTAGAAAGAGAAATATGAACTTGGCTATAGCTGTTCCTGTACCTTTAGTTGTTTTGGTAGTTTTCAAAATAGCAATCTCATGCACAGTTAAAGGCTCCTTGCGAAGCACAAAGTTTTTAATAAAACTAGTGTTTTAAATCCTGGTGATCCCTGGTTGCTCTGGGTATCAAGATTCTACAGCTGGTTTCTGAATGTAGTTATGAAACTTTAATGTACATATAGCTTTCAAAGTTGAAATCCCTAGCTTATTAAACTAAATTAACAAATAGATCAGAATTCCTTTTGAGATCACCAATTATTATGCAAAAGAAACGTGGTGTTAACTATGACCTGAGCTTCCATTAGAAGTGGATAGTGAAGTAAGTGTTAAGAATTTATTAGTCTTCAAAACTAGAAAATAGTGCTCTCAAATAATCTTTACTCCTCATTGATTTATTTTTATAAAATACCTTTCTACTTATTTATTTTCCAAAGTGAGGAATAACTACAGTTTCGCTTTTGGTCCATATTTAGTAGCTCTTTTTATTAGTAACAGTATTTGTAAACCATTATCTAGCACATTAAACTGATAAAGTGTTAGCTGATTTGATTATGTTTGAATCACTACTAGATTAATTGAGACTGGATTCTTCTTTTTGATTAAAAGCTGTCTATTATAATGTGCTGTGGAAGATAGGCTTCTTGTCTTATTTTTATTTTGCTTACACAGAGCAGTTACTCTTGAGTGGTATTTAAGACTATGCATATTTATCTTCTGCCAGGCTTAGGGAAATTGGGTAGGTTCTTTCTGAATTTATAAGAAGATTCCTTGTTGTCTAGGCCCTTTGTTAATTCATCTCTGATTATCTCTGATTTGAGACATTTTGTGAAATCCTCTTCATTTTTTTCTGTCTGTAAAATCATTTGGAAAAATTTCCTTGTATTTAATAGCTGATATTTTATAAGGAAGTTTTTAATCTGATAAATCATTTAGATCTTTTGAAATTTCAGGGTGTGCTGATGGTTGGACCCCCAGGAACTGGTAAGACCATGCTAGCTAAAGCTGTTGCCACTGAATGTGGCACAACGTTCTTCAACGTTTCCTCCTCTACATTGACATCCAAATATAGAGGTGAATCTGAGAAATTAGTCCGTCTGTTGTTTGAAATGGTGAGTGATGATGTATTTGGATTTCAAAGTATTTTTGGTATAAGCAATGGTATCCCTATAAATCTAGATTAGATCCACTCATTTAAGGCAGGTGTCGTTATAGTTTAATAAATAATTCTTGGCAGACTAATAAGATATGGTGTGGTGGGGTTTCTGGAACTGTCAATGTGTCTTTGATGTAGCTTCCTCCCTAAGATAAAAGAAGGCCCTTTGGCATCCTGTCCAGTGCGAGTAGAAGAGATTTTGGAAGTGTGTGTGGTGTGACTGACATTTCTGGATCTCTAATGAGCTGGTTGAGCAGAAGTGTATTTTAATATATATTTTAAAAATGAGTTAGATATTGATTCAGCATTAAAATTAGTTTCTTTTCATAAGGTGTTTGCAATAGTTACTTAAAAATGTATATTTGAGGAAAGAGATTGATGATTTGTCTTTTAAAAGTGTTTTATACTATGGAAAGTTTCAAACAGAATAGTAGGAAGAATAGTGCTATAAATCCCCATATAGTGGTCACTGAACTTCACCAACCATATATATTACCTTTTATTTTTAGAAATTTACCTTTTTTTAATATGAATGATTGATTTAATCCTGTCAATAATGAAATGGTGGCATTAAAGCAGTGAGAAACTTCTCTTTTTCTAACTAGGATTTTAGGAGAAAATGGCATTTTTAAAAATTCAGATTGTTTTATGAGATAATCAAATGATTTCTTTAAAATATTTTCACAAAGGCTAGATTTTATGCCCCCACTACAATCTTCATTGATGAGATAGATTCCATCTGCAGTCGAAGAGGGACCTCTGATGAGCACGAAGCAAGTCGCAGAGTCAAGTCTGAGCTACTCATTCAGATGGATGGTAATTGATGTTTAATTACTGTCTCAAAACTGTTTTATTTCCTTTTTGAGCCAGTGGTTCCGTATTGTGAGAGGGTGCAGGCCTCTAGTCCTATATAATAAAGATGTAATATGCAAATGGACCCTCACGCCCTCATGTCACAATATGACCACCCCTATATTGTCACAAGATGGCTGGCCCCATATGTCACAAGATGGCTATCCCCATGTCATCACAAGATGGCTGCCCAATGTCATCACAAGATGATCACCCCACGTCATCACAAGGTGGTTGTCCTCACAACATCACAAGATGGCCACCATAGCTGAAAACGGTTTGGCTCAGTGGATGGAGCATCGGCCTGTGGACTGAAGGGTCCTGGGTTCGATTCCAATCAAGGGCATGTGTCTTGGTTGTGGGCACATCCCCAGTAGGGAGTGTGCAGGAGGCAACTGGTCAATGATTCTCTCTCATCGATAAAATACATTTAAAAAAAAAAAAAAAAAAGATGGCCACCACAATATTTCCATCCTTACATCGTCACAAGATGGCCACCACAAGATGGCCGCCCCCACATTGTCACAAGATGGCTGGCAGGGGAGGGCAGTTGGGGTGATTGGGCTGGCAGGGGAGCAGTTAGGTATCAATCAGGCCAGCAGGGGAGTAATTAGGGGGCAAACAGGCTGGCAGGCAGAAGCAGTTAAGAGCAATCAGGGAGGCAGGCAGGCAAATGGTTAGGAGCCAGCAGTCCTGGATTGTGAGAGTGATGTCTGACTGCCACTTTAGGCAGGGATTGGGCCTAAACCCACAGTTGGACATCCCCCAAGGGGTCTCAGATTGGAGAGGGTACTGGGTGGCTGAGGGACAAATTTCATGCACCGGGCCTCTAGTCCTATATTATAATCCTATATAATAAAAGGGGAATGTGCAAATAGACCAAACAGCAGAACAAATGAACAGTCAATCAAAGCATAATATGCTAATGATATGCTAAGGCTGTTCAACTACTAGCTGTGATTTTAATTCTAGAAAAAGTAGACTCTCTCATATGTTTAGTTTGCTATAAAAAAGAAACAGTCTTCTTTTGAAAATATTCTATTTAGGTCTGTTGCCCATTTCTTAATTGGATCATTCATCTTCCTTTTGTTTAGTTGTATAAGCTGTCTGTAAATGTTGGAGATTAAAACTTTATCAGTGGTATTATTTGCAAATATGTTCTTCCACACCGTGGGCTTTCTTGTTGTTTTGTTGATGGTACATTTACACAATGGAATACTATGCTGCCATAAAAAAGAAGGAATTCTCATCATTTGCAGAAACCTGGATGGAATTGGAGAACATCATGCTGAGTGAAATAAGCCAATCAATGAAAGAGAAACACCACATGACCTCACTCATTTGGGGATGATAAAGAACATTATAAACTGATGAACCAAGAGATAGATATAGAGACAGTAAAGCAACAGGCAGACTGTCAAATTACAGTGGGGAGGGGAGGAAGATCTGGGGGAGATAGTAGATCAACTGAAGGACTTGTGTACATGCATATAAGTACAACCAATGGACATAAAACTCTAAACTCTGGGGAGGGAGGGTATGTATGGGAAGGAGGGAGGGGGGGGCAAAAAAATCAATAAAATACATTTAAAAAAAAATAAAGTACAGATGAACCCCCCCCCCCCCCCCCAAAAAAAAGAAACGGTATTTTCAGTAGTGACTGATTATTAGTTTATTCTTATATTTATTGTTTATTTTTTTTGAGTTACTTAGAAGTTTGAAGGACAAAACTATTCTAATATAAACTGCCTTTCAAAATTATTATAGTATATTAAGTAAATATGAATCCTATTCTGTTCTTTCTTTCTTTCTTTCTTTCTTTCTTTCTTTCTTTCTTTCTTTCTTCCTTCCTTCCTTCCTTCCTTCCTTCCTTCCTTCCTTCCTTCCTTCCTTCCTTCCTTCCTTCCTTCCTTCCTTCCTTCCTTCCTTCCTTCCTTCCTTCCTTCCTTCCTTCCTTCCTTCCTTCCTTCCTTCCTTCCTTCCTTCCTTCTTTCTTTCTTTCTTTCTTTCTTTCTTTCTTTCTTTCTTTCTTTCTTTCTTTCTCTTTCTTCCTCCCTTCCTCCCTTCCTCCCTTCCTTCCTCCCTCCCTCCCTCCCTCCCTCCCTCCCTCCCTCCCTCCCTCCCTCCCTCCCTCCCTCCCTCCCTCCCTCCCTCCCTCCCTCCCTTCCTTCCTTCCTTCCTTCCTTCCTTCCTTCCTTCCTTCCTTCCTTTCTCTCTCTCTCTCTCTCTCTCTCTCTCTCTCTCTCTCTCTCTCTCTTTCGTTCTTTCGTTCTTTAATATATTTTGTTGATTTTTTTACAGAGAGGAAGAGAGAGGGATAGAGAGTTAGAAACATCGATGAAAGAGAATCATCGATTAGCTGCCTCCTACACACCCACCATCGGGGATGTGCCCACAACCAAGGCACATGCCCCTGACCGGAATTGAACCCGGGCCTTTCAGTCCGCAGGTCAGTGCTCTATCCACTGAGCCAAACCGGTCTCAGCTGTTCTCCTTTCTTGAAAAATATTAAATAAATTAGATTAACAACTAAAATAAAGTATTTGAAGTGAGAAATCCAAGATGTCAACAAAGTAGATAGAAGTTATACTCACGTCCTCCCAGGACCAAATCAAAATTATAACTAAACTATAGACCAATAAACCTGAATAACCGACTGAAGACTAGCTGAATAGAAGTCTTACAACTACAGTTCTATATAAGAAAACATACTGAGACTTTTAGGAAATGTATAGTCTCAAAATGGGCTGACCCTGAACCCATGTGCAGGTTAGAATATGGAGGGCTATCTTAGCTTTATAAGTTCCTCTCGGGGAGTGAGAGCTCTCAACCCTGTGGCTGGCTTCCCAGCCTAGAGCACAAGTGCTGGGAAGAAGAACCTACATAACATCTGGCTGTGAAAATTAATGGAGATTCTGTCCAGCAGAGTGAGGTGGTAGGCTGCTAGAAACCCAAGTGACCTCATCCTTAGGCACTTATCCTGGGCACCAGCAGAAGAATGGCAGCTTAGAGTAGACTGAAGTCATACAGGGAGAGATTGGGTTCTGTGGTTTTGGGAGAAGGCTGGAGGGACATCTGCCAACATTCCTTTATTGAATCCCTTTCCCATGCTGCTCTCAGATGTCATCATTCTTGAGTTGAGTACTTCCCTGCATAATGCCTCAGCCTGGATGAATGCACTAGCTACACACTCGTGACTCCCTGTTGTCCCACCCTGCCAAGCTCCCACTCTCTGGAAGAATCAGCTAGCTGCACCCAGCATGGGCTTCAGTTGCAGACTTTCTTGGGAGGCTCAGGTGGAGATTTAGGTAGACTTGGGGTGTCATAGACATTTTGCATAGGGAGAGTCTTGAATGTAGTGGCTTCAGAGCAAGGGCCAATTTTTCCATGTGTTTGGCTGGCAACACCCCTTATTCCCTTCCTCCCATTCCCCTCCCCCTGCTGGCATCAGCCTGAATAGAAGCACTAGCTCCATTCTCCCAAGTCAGTTTGGCCACACCCTGTGAAGCCTGCACCAAGCAGGGAAATTCTGCTGGCTGTGACTAACTTGCATCTGCATTGCACTCTTTTGAAACGTTATTAAGGAAGTAGCCCAGCCTGGTCACAGTGTCTCACATTGACCGGCACAAGAGCCCATCCAAGAGGTCCCAGAATCAACACACATGGTGGCTGACTTTGGACCAAACCAGAGCATGACCTGATTAGTTCCATAAGTGGCACACCCAAAGGGAGATCTTGGCAGGCACAGGACATGCTGAGACAATTCCCCTTTGTGAGTCAGCCTCTACACAGCAGCTTATACACTGTGGTCGGGGCAGTCCTCACAATCAGTGAACCTCTGGGCCAGTGGATGGCCAACTGCAATCACAACTAAACTACATCAGATGAGCTTACATAACCCACACAAGGGACATTCTTGGAGCACCTAGCTTAGTTTATTGGGGAGATTGTACCACTAGGCATCTACTACATAAGGCCACCTTACCAAGACTGAGAAATAGCAATCTACCTAGTACCCAGAAACATACAAAGAGTCATTTAAAATGGGGAGACAGCCAAAACTGATTTGGCTCAGTGGATAGAGCATCAGCCTGCGGATGGAAGGGTCCTGGGTTTAATTCCAGTCAAGGGCATGTATCTTGGTTGCAGGCACATCCCCAGTGGGGGACGTGCAAGAGGCAGCTGATCAATGGTTCTCTCTCATCTATGTTTCTAACTCTATCTCTCTCCCTTTCTCTCTGTAAAAAAGTCAATAAAATATATATTTAAAATGGGGAGACAAATGAATGAACAATAGAAATCCCCAGAAAAAGAGCTAAATTAAATGGAGGTAGGCAATGTACCAGATATAAAGTTTAAAATTATGGTTATAAAGATGCTCTTCAACAAAGAGATAGCAAATATGAAAAAGGACACAGAAACCATAAAAAAGAAGCAGTCAAAAATGAAGAATACACTAGAAGGAATCAACAGCAGACTAGATGAATCAGAGTATCAAATCAGCAATTTGGAAAACAAGATGAACCCAAAGGGACCCACACCAAGACATATCATAATTAAAATGGCAAATGTTAAAGACAAAAAATCTTAAAGCAACAAGACAATTATCTGCAAGGGAGCTGCAATAAGACTGTCAGGAGTAATGAAAGGCAAGGACCTACAACCAAGAAAACTCCACCCAGCAAGGGTATCCTATATAATAAGAGAGGAATATGCTAATTATCCATTATGCCCTGAGGTGTAACGACCAACCACATAAAACTGGATCATGGATTTATAGGAGGATGGGGTAGCGAACTACAAATGGGTGGCAGAGAGCTATAGGATGGGGCAGGATAGCAAGCAAGAGGAAGGCAGAGAGCTACAAGAGGGAGCAAGGCATCAAGCTAAGAAATGGGGGGGATGTGGGAGCAGGAGGAGATACAAAGTGGTGGTATAAATATGTATATACTAGAAGCCCGTTGCATGAAATCATGCACTTACCACCAGGGTGCAGCTCCTGCATTGAGCGTCTGCCCGCTAGTGGTCAGGATACATCATAGCAACTGGTTGTTCTGCCATTCGGTTGATTTGCATATTAGCCTTTTATTATATAGAATATGTATACACACATATACATATATACACGTATACAATGACATATTACATGGTCATAAAAAGAATGTAATTTTACTGTTTGCAACAATATAAATGGACCTAGAGGGTCTTATGCTAAATGAAATGTCAGACAGAGGAAGATAAATATTATTAATAGATTATTTTACTTATATGTGGAAATTAAAGAGCAAAATAAATGAACAAAAGTAGAAACAGCCTCATAGATACAGAGATCAGACTGATAGTTGTCAGAGGATTGGGAGGTTGGGAGTGCTGGGTGAAAAATGTGCATATTGGTATTCACAAAATAGTCCACAGCATAGGGACTATAGTCAATAACTTTATATATATACTGTGTTTCCCCGAAAATAAGACATCCTCTGAAAATAAGACCTAGTGCATGGAAAGATAAAACATCCCTTGAAAATAAGACCTAGCACAACTTTGAGAGAAAAAATTAATATAAGACACTGTCTTATTTTTGGGGAAACAGGACATATATATATATATATATATATATATATATATATATATATAGCTAAGGGACTGTCCTACCAGTATCTATGACGCACAATGACCACTAGGGGGCAAATGTTCCAACTGGTAGCTATGATGCACACTGACCACATTCTCAGGTGACACACTTGGAACCAGAGAGGAGGGAGCCCTATTCTGGGGTACGTCACCCGAGAAGCGCCCTCTCACAATCCAGAACTCTATGAGGGATGTTGGAAAGCCAGTTCCAGCCCAACCCTACAGGCCAGACTGAGGGACCCCACCAGTGCACGAATCTGTGCAGCAGGCCTCTAGTATTGCAATAACTATACAGTGCCAGGTAGGTACTTGAAATATTGGGGGAATCACTTTGTAAAATAAATGGTTGACTAACCACTATGCTGTACACTTTAAGCTAATATAAAATTATATTGAATGTAAACTAATTGAAAAATAACATTTAAGTAAGTTAGAATTTTTGAGAAACTTCATGATTTAAAAAAATCAGAGAGGAATAAAACAGCAGAATCTTTCACACCTTTTCAGAGGAATGTGTATATATTTTCTTACAGGAAAAAAAGGTTTTTCTTATTGGATTAGAATCCTATAATAGATTATGTGAACTCTTCAGTTTCCTATTTTATAGTTATCTGTTGAAGTGCGTGGTCTGCCACCATCCAGAAGTCAGGATGTGTTATTTTTATCATTGAGCCTATCACCAGCCTGGGACTGATGCTTAGGGTGTTAATTGAATGAAGAAATAATGGGCTTTTTCCTCTTACTGTATGTAGGTGTTGGAGGAGCTTTAGAGAATGATGATCCTTCCAAAATGGTTATGGTATTGGCTGCTACTAATTTCCCATGGGATATTGATGAAGCTTTGCGAAGAAGATTGGAGAAGAGAATTTATATACCTCTCCCAACAGGTACAATGTATTGCCTTTATAATGTTCCATTTTTTTGTTTTGCTTCCTGTTATCTTTTTTCCTCTTGTCTTTATTCCATTGACATTTTACTAAAAGAAGTTTATAGCATTACAAAACCTATTTGTAATACATTTCAGAGCAGCTCTTACATTTAGAGCAGTATTCATATAATATTAATAAATTGGGTAGGACATCTTAGTTTTTACTTTTAAACTATAAGAGTCTTCATTAAACTTTAAGTGTTTAAAAATAAAGTTTCCTTGAGATAGTTTTTAAAATATTCTGCTTTAGCCTTAGTTGGTTTGGCTCAGTGGATAGAGCGTCGGCCTGCAGACTGAAAGGTTCAATTCTGGTCAAGGGCATGTACCTTGCTTGCAGACACATCCCCAACAGAAGGTGTGCAGGAGGCAGCTGATGGATATTTCTCTCTCTTTGATGTTTCTATCTCTCTATTCCTCTCCCTTCCTCTCTGTAAAAAAATCAATAAAATATATATATTTTAAAGAGTTTAAAAAATATTCTGCTTTAGAAAAATTCTATTTTATCCTATTGATGAATACTGAAATTTTCTTAAGTGATTTTTTTCTTTTAGATTTATATATTCAGTGAAATGTATAAATCTTTAGTGTAAATTTGATGAATTTTGCCAAGTGAATATTCCTGTTTAATTATTATCCTACTCAAGATGTAGGACATTTCTTTTATCCCAGAAAGTTTCTTTGTACCTCCTACCAATTAATAAAAACCCTTTCAATTTCCTAATTTTTATCACCATAGATTAGTTTTACCTATTATTAATCTCCATATGCACTGAGTGGCCAGATTAGTATGATCTCTAAATGCATAATAATCTGGCCACTCAGTGTATATCCTATATAATAAAAGGCTAATATGCAAATTGTCCCCTCAACCAGGAGTTTGACCAGCAGGCAGGCTGGCCAACCTCCCATGTCCCCTCCCCCTGGCCAGGCTGGCTGGACTCCACCCATCCACGAACTCATGCACTGGGCCTCTAATACATACACACACACACACACACACACACACACACACACACACTCTCACTGAGTGGCCAGATTATTATGCATTCAGAGATCATAATAATCTGGCCACTCAGCGTAAATGGAATCATGACATATGTATTATACTTGCATATGTGATTACTACTCAATATAATGTTTTTGAAATTTATCCATGTGGTTACATGTATCAGTAGTTTATCTATGATATTATTATACTGAAATTTGTTTATTTTCTTTTTGATGGACATTTGACTTATTTTGACTATTATGAATGAATCTATAAATATTCTCATACAAACATTTTTATGTATGAATGTTTTTATTTCGTTTGGTAACGTAGATAAGAATGGAATAGATGGATCAGAGTGTAGGTATGTGCTTGATTTTGTAACACCCAAACTATTTTCCTCAGTGGTTGTACCATTTTATACTTTAATCATCAATAAATTAGATTCCAGTACTTCCACATCCTTGTCAACATTTAGTATTGTTGGTATTTTAATTTTAGTCATTTTAGTTAAGTGTGAAATGTCACTTTATTATGGTTTTAAATTTGCATTTCTCTGGTGACTAATGATGTAGTTACCTTTCTATGTTCCTGTCGTCATTGGTATATATTTTGTATAGTGTCTTTTCAAGTATTTTGTGCAGTTTTTAGTTGGTTTATTTGTTGTCTTATTAACAAAGTGTAGTTCTAATTATACACATGCATAGATAATATTTTCTTCCACTTTGTGGTTTCCCTTTCAGTTTTCCTATGGTGTCTTTGATAAGCAGAAACTTTAATTTTTATTAAGTCTTCTTGTCAAGTTTTTCTTTTTCTTTTTCTTTTTAAAATATATTTTATTGATTTTCCACAGAGAGGAAGGGAGAGGGATAGAGAGCTAGAAACGTCGATGAGAGAGAAACATCAGTCAGCTGCCTCCTGCACACACCATACTGGGGATGTGCCCACAACCAGTGTACATGCCCTTGACCGGAATCGAACCTGGGACCTTTCAATCCGCAGACCGACGCTCTATCCACTGGCCAAACCAGTTTTGGCAAGTTTTTCTTTTTCCATAGTGCTTTTTGTGTCTTAAGAGTCTTTGCTTACCTAAGGGTCAAAGGTTTTCTTCTTCATGATGTCTAAAGTCAAGAATGGGAACATTTAGTGGCTGAGGGTGACCCCTCATCTGGAGCCTGGGATCATCTAGAATACTGTTACCCACATGCCTGGTGGTTGAGGCCTAGGGCCTCAGCTTAAGTACCTCCATGTTACTTGTGGACAGTCAGATTTCATACATGGTAGCTCAGAGCTCGAGGTGTGATTATTACAGTGGAAAAGTTGTAAGGTACATTATTAGGACCTAGACTTGAGGTCATGATTGCTGTTTCTGCCTTATTCTGGTGAAAGTATTTACAAGTCCAGCCATTTTCAGGAGGAAGGGAATTAGACTGCCTTTGGGTGAGAGAGAGGCAAGGCCCCATTGTAGGATCGTGTGTGAGTTGAAAGAAACTCTGCACTCATCTTATTAAATTCAATTTTCCATGATCAGTTAAGGAAAGAAGTCAAGTAACAGGATGGGCGGAGCTTGGACTTGTAATAAATCTCCTCTTAGTTCTTGCATCTAAAAATGACAGTGTTGCTGAAACCGGGTTGGCTCAGTGGATAGAGCGTCGGTCTGCGGACTGAAGGATCCCTGGTTCGATTCCGGTCAAGGGCAGGTACCTTGGTTGCGGGCACATCTCCAGTAGGAGGTGTGCAAGAGGCAGCTGATCGATGTTTCTCTCTCATCATTGTTTCTGACTTTCTATCCCTCTTCCTTCCTTTCTGTGGAAAATCAATAAAATATATTAAAAAAATAAAATAAAATAAAATAAAAATGGCAGTGTCTACCTGGTCAGCCTAGTGGACTCCTTTCTCCAGCCCCCTCTAATTCTGTTTTCTTTAGACTGACCTCCTTAATCATCAAGGTATCATTGTCCCCTGCACTCTCAGTAATTCTCTCTCTTTTTTTTTTTTTTTTAAAGGTTTTGGTGTTATTTTGCTAAGTGTGTGTATGTGTGTGTGTGTGTGTGTGTGTGTGTGTGTGCGTGCGTGTTTTTACTACAAGTTTCTTTCTTTTTCTGAGTACTTACCATGTACTAGGCACTATTCTATGTTTTGTTTTTGTGCCATACATTTAGTTTTTAAACTTTTATTTTATTTAAAGTATCACAAATAGTAGCACATATTTCTCCTTTTCCCCCGCAATTGACCTTCTCCCAGCTTCCTTTACCCCTGAAACATGCCATCACTCCACCATGCCAGTGTCTTGCATCCATTGGTTATGCTTATATATATATGCATACAATCCTTTGGTTGATTTCTTACCTCCAGCCCCCCTAACCCTCCCCAGCCTTCCCACTGTAATTTAACAGTCTATTTGATGCTTCTCTGCCTCTGTATTTATCTTCTTGTTCATCAGGTTATAATGTTCTTTTTTATCCATAAATGTGTGAGGTCATGTAGTATTTTTGTTTTACTGACTGGCTTATTTCACTTAGCATAATGCTCTCCAGTTGCATCCATGCTGATGCAAATGGTAAGAATTCTTTCTTTTTTATAGCAGCGTAGTGTTCCATTGGTAGATGTTCTATAGTTTTTTAATCTACTCATCTGCTGATGAGCATTTAGGCTGTTGGCAAATTTTAGCTATTGTAAACTGTGCTACCAATCCTTTCTGATTGGTATTTCTGTTTTCTTGGGATATAATCTTAGAAGTGGGACTACTGGGTCAAATGAGAGTTCCATTTTTAAATTTTTGAGGAAATGCCATACTGTTCTCCACAGTGGCTGCACCAGTCTGCATTCCCACCAGCAGTGAAGGAGGGTTCCTTTTTCTCAGTATTCTCTCCAGCACTTATGGTTTGTTATTGTGTTGATGATAGACATTCTGACAGGTGTGAGGTGGTATCTCATAATTGTTTCGATTTGCATCTCTCAGATGATTAGTGATTTTGAGCATGTTTTCATATGTCTCTTGGCTTTCTGAAAGTCCTCCTTCGAAAATGTCTTTAGGTGCTTTTCCCATTTTTTTTTTTTATTGGATTGTTTATCTTCCCTTGTTAAGTTGTATGAGTTTCCTGTAAATGTTGGAGATTAAACCCCTATCAGAGATAACATTGGCAAATATGTTCTCTAATGCAGTGGGCTTTCTTGTTTTGTTGATGGTTTCTTTTGCCTTGCAGAAACTTTTATTTTGATGCAGTCCCATTTGTTTATTTTCCCTTAGTCTCTCTTGCCTTAGGATCTGTTTCTATAAAGATATTGCTACAACATTTGCCTGCAATTTTGCTGCCTTTGGAGTCTTGTAGGATTTTTATGGTTTCCCATCTTACATTCAAGTTCTTTAGTAATTTTGAGTTTGTTTTTGTGTATGGTGTAAGTTGGTGATCTAGTTTCATTTTTTTTTTTTTGCATGTATCTGACCAAATTTCCCAGCACCATTTATTGAAGAGACTGTTTTGACTTCATTGTATGATCTTGCCTCCTTTGCCAAATATTAATTGAGTATAATGGCTTGGATCAATTTCTGGGTTCTCTATTCTGTTACATTGTTCTATATTTCTGTTCTTGTGCCAGTATCAGGCAGTTTTGAGAACTGTGGCTTAGTAATATAGCTTTATATCTGGTATTGTGATCCCTCCAATTTTGTTCTTCTTTCTCAGGATAGCAGTGACTATTTGGGGTCTTTTTTTTTATTCCAGATGAATTTTTGGAGAGTTTGTTCTATATCTTTGAAATATGCCATTGGCATTTTAATAGGTATTGCATTGAATCTATAGATTGCTTTAAGTAGTATGGACATTTTAATGATGTTGATTTTACCAAACCATGAACATGGTATGTTCTTCCATTTGTTTATGTCTTCCTCTCTGTCCTTTTTCAATGTCCTGTAGTTTTCTGAGTACAGGTCTTTTATGTTCTTAGTTAAGTTTATTCCTAGATACCTT